GGAGTGGAGATAGGAACGGTCCCATTAGGTGGCTGTGCCGAGGGTGTGAAGTCCGCACACCCCAGGAGTGGCTCTTGTTAACGTGTGAATCGTATCTCTGTAGAGAACAAGGATCCGTCTCCGTCGGATGTCATTTCAGATACGTCTTACGTAACACCGTCGGCCACGATAATCTTCTCTCACTTGACATGTGTATCTTTTCGTTTGCGACAGTACGTCCTGGCCACTGACTCCTTTCAGCTGGGTTATGCCGAGGACGGGCACTGCAAGGGCGACCCCAACCCGAACATTCCGTACCCCACCCGGCTGCAGTGGGACATCCCGGAGGAAGTGAGTCCGAACGATCCGTCACCCGGGGCGGGGGACGAGCTTCAGCTCTCACAGCCGCACTGTCCACGCGCACTTGGTGGGTGTGCGCCAGCCCAGCTGAAGACCACGGACACTGAACCTTGTCCGTGCGGGCGTCTCCGGGGGGCCGTGGGGCTGCCCCAGCTCCTGCTGTCTCAGGGGCCCCGCTAGGTAGTTCTTCCGCTTGAGGTTTCGGCGGAGATGGTCGGCGACGTTTCCAGCTCGGACCTCGCTAGACGTCACAGTGAAAAAGTGGGAAACCGAGTCCCTTCCTCCAGGGTTGAAGTACTCCAGATCACGCCCTTATAATTTTTGTCTCTTCAAGATTCTCAGGTGCACTCCACTCGCTGGAAGGAAGCGTTTGGGGGGAAGGGATTTTAGGGGTGGAAATAGCACATTCCAGTTCCTCTAGTCCGAGCAGGAGTTCCCGGGCCTCAAGAAATAACTGCCGAAGTAGAAAACACCACATCTGGTGCTGTACCCCAAGCATTTGTGTCCCCGGGCCTGGGGTGTGCTCCCCAGAGAAAGGTAGCCTTTGCCGAAACGTGTCAGCTGACCAAGTCGGTCGGCATTTATTTAAAACGTGTCCGTAGATTTCACTTTTAGAGCCTTTTTAGCTTCACAGCAGACGTGAGCGGAAAGTCCGTTGAGATCCCTCCTGTCCCCCTTCCCCGACCCCACACGCACACAGCCTCCCTCACTACCCACGTCCCCGCCAGGGCCGTGCGTCCGTCACAGCCCGTGAACCAGCACCCACGTGTCACCGTCACCCGGAGCCCAGCGTCGCCGTGGGGGTTGACTCTCAGTGGTGAACGCATCACTGATGAGCCGGGTGCGTGGTGACCTGTGTCCACCAGCACAGCATCCCAAGAGTTGTGTCGCTGCCCAGAGACCTGTGCTCTGCCTGTTCATCCCTCCCCGCCCCCCCTCCAGCCCCCGGCGACCGCTGATCTCGGCCCGGTCTCCACATCTTGCCTTGTTCACGATGTCCTGTTTGTGGAATCCTGTCGTACGTGGCCTTTTCAGGCTGGCTTCTTTCACTTGGTAACACGCATTTACGGTTCTTCCGTGTGATTCCGTGGCTCGGTCGCTTCGTTTCTATCGCGTGGTTGTACCACAGTCCGTTTCTTGCTTTCAACTGGTTCCTCGGTTGCCGCGATGGGTTTCACAAAACAAAACTCGGGCTGTTCCAAATGGCCTTTGGGGTCCCGCTCGGACCAGGAAGCCCCCGTCTCCTACCGGCGTCCCTCTGCGAGGAGCCACCCACGCCTTAGCTGGTCAGTGAGTAGTTGCCATCATTACTAACAAACCACAGCTGCTGGGTAACACTTTGGAAAGAGCCGAGAGGAAAACGGGGTGTGTTTTCGGCACCAACCCTGTGGCTTCGGGGTATGTCGGTAACCCCTCCGCCCTCCCCCATTAACTAAAACCTCTCTCTCCTTTCCCTCAAGTGTCAGGAGGTGATCGAGACTTCCCTGAGCTGCGCGAACCTTCTGGCCAACGACGTGGATTTCCATTCTTTCCCGTTCCACACCTTCGGCAAAGGACTCATCAAAAAGTGCCGGACGAGCCCGGACGCCTTTGTGCAGCTCGCACTCCAGCTGGCGCATTACAAGGTACGAGCCTGGGATTTTGTCGCGAGCCCTCGGGGGGTCCTGGACGCAAACGTGCCCAGGGCCGTCTGCCCCGTGGGTGGGGAAGGCCAGACACCTGTCCCAGGGGGGCAGCCGCTGGCGCGGAACACAGCCTGCTGGGTCTTGCCCACGCATCCTAGTCCAGGGTCTCTGCCACCGACAGGATGGGACGCCTGGTGAGCGGAGCCCCCTCTCGGGTGGTAAACTCAGGAAAAGAAACAGATGCGGGACAGCGAGGGATAATGTTGACCGCGGATAAACTAGAACACATAGGCCAAAACTGTACTTAAAATCGACTTTCCTGTAGTTCTTTTAACGTTGATTTATCTTTGAGAGAGAGAGAGAGACAGAGCGTGAGTGGGGCAGGGACAGAGAGAGAGGGAGACACAGAATCCGAAGCAGGATCCAGGCTCTGAGCCGTCAGCACAGAGCCCGACGCGGGGCTCGAACCCACGAACCGCGAGATCATGACCTGAACCGAAGTCGGACGCTTAACCGACTGAGCCACCCAGGCGCCCCGACTCTACCGTAGTCCTTAACAGAGATGGTCACATCTTGAGGCTTTCTTTTCCCAAATAATGTACTCACCCAAAGCAGTGGGACAGAAGCACAGCCATAGGGGAGCTGAGCTCTCTGTCTGATGGAGTAAGTGACTGAAAGATGATAACTGGATCTTAGGATTAATGAGCTTGATTTTTTTTTAAATTGATGAACACACATTGTCCATAAATATGCAGTGTCAGGGCTTTCCAATACAGAGGTTTTCCTAAGGGAACACTCGGTTCCACAGTAACCCATTTGAACACACTGGATGAAATGTTTTCGGCAGCAACAGAAATTAGTAAAGCTGACCCAAGATAAGGCAAGAAGCTGGAAGGAGGTCAGTACCCAAGGAAAGTCAGAGGTGGGTGGGACGCCTGGGTGGCTCAGTCGGTTAAGTGTCCAACTTTGGCTCAGGTCATGATCTCACGGCTTGTGAGTTCGAGCCCTGCCTCCGGCTGTCTGCTGTCAGCACAGAGCCCTCTTTGGATCCCCTGTCCCCTCCTCTCTCTGCCCCTCCCCTGTGCTCGCTCACTCTCTCAAAAGTAAACCAACATCTAAGAAAGTCAGAAGTTGGAGAGCTGCCTGAAACGTGACTGTGCTTAGAAGCAGCTGCGGGGCCATGACAAGCATAAATTCTAGGGGCTTCGGAAAGGGAGGAGCTGCCTGGTGGGTTCCTGGGCAGGACCCTTATCATCAGTGCGTCACACATGAGCAGGTGAGCTGGCTTGCCTGACATCGCGGCTCACAGTGGTGTGGCTGAACGTGGACCCAGGCAGGCTGGTTCTGAAACCCATGCCTGAACGGGATGGATGCAAAAAAGACCAACGTTGCTCGTGAATACAAATGCAAAGAAAAAAAAAAGAACTCTAAATAAAATAGTAGCAAATACAATCTACCAGTATAGGAAAAGTACAGTCACCAGCAGCAGCTTATGGTCCCAGCAACGAGGGGACGGATCGGTCTTAGCAAATCTGGTAGTAGATTAAATCGCATTATTAGATCAGGGGAGGAACCAGACAGTCCCCTCGACAGATACTAAAAAGACACCAAACACTGTCCATTCCTGACGACAGCTCTAAATAACAGGGACTGTTTCCTTAACGTGATCAATACTGTCGCGTATCAGTAGCCAGCATATGGCTTTAAAGGTGAAGAGGTGAGTGAGTCACCCCGTTAAAATAAGGGTGAGCTGCAGCCGGCAGCTTCGCTGTCCTCGAACTCCTTTCCGTAAGCGCGGTCAGTGCAGCTGACGGGATACTTGGGCAGGGGGACCCTCACAACATCCTCTCGGGAAGAGCCAGCAGAAAAGCTTTTACGATTAAGACGAACGCTCAGAGCGGAGCTTGCTGCGGAGTCTACGAAGCCCAGTATCTTCCTTGTCGAGCCGTGACGGCCAAGCAGAAAATAGAGCAGGCGGACAGAACGGGAGCAGAGACAAGAGTCTGGGATCCGGGCGTGTGTTCATAAAGCAGGTGGGCCGTTGGGGGGAGGAAGGGCCCAGAGCCACGGAGAAGATAGAGATGGTCTCCGAAAGGGAGACAAGGCTGTGGTTTGGGATAGAGAAGCTTGACCTCATAGAGGCAAATGTTCCCAGTTCACACTCCTAGTGTGAACACAGTCTGAGGTCCGAAGATGATTTGGGGAAGCTTCGAGTTCGTCTAGAAGAGCTGACGTTTTGAGAATCACCAGGGACGATCCGAAAAGGGTACACGTAATGAGGCGGACGCTTGTTCTTTCGAAGTCTACAGTGTAGAAGTTGGAAGAGCGCAGTAATTGTCACGGTGCCATACTGCTTCCGGATAGTGCCACGCAGTTCTCTATGGCAAAGGTGGGATTTAACATCGGTGGGCGGGGATGAATTAATTAGCGAATGGAGTTGGGGAAATTGGCTGGAGGGTTCCATTTGGGAAGAAAAGACAGAGCCCGGGAGGAAAACAGAGTCAGAGCAGAAGTGGGTGGTTCACGAGAACGGAAAGCTACGAACAGTCAGTGGATGCACGTGGACAGTCTAATCTTGCCGGGAATCCAGAAAGTGCAGTGTAAGGAAGACTGAATCTTTGTGCCATTTGCAAAGGTCTTCCTTGAGTTCCGTGTTTGTGCAGGGCAATTTAGAAAGGGACGTTCGTGCACAGCAGTTGGGCTCATAAAGCTGGAAACGTGTCGTGAACGCGTAACTATTTCCCTGGCAAATTGTGCCTTGCGAATTGTATCCTTCAAGGACAGGCTCACAAAGGTCAGCTTAAACACACCCCTCGGTAAAAATTGGAATCAATCTGAAAGCTTATCAGGGTGAAACCTGTTAGATTACGGTATTCTCGTACCATGGACTGTCACGTGACTGTCGAGTGATGTCTAGCATATTCTGTGAAAATGCATGGCTGTGGGGCACCTGGGTGGCTCAGTTGGTTAAGTGTCCTACTCTTGACTTCAGCTCAGGTCATGAGCTCACGGTTCGTGAGATCGAGCCCCGCATTGGGCTCTGTGCTGACAGCTTGGAACCTATTTGGGATTCTTTCTGTCTCCCTCCCTCTCTCTCGGTTCCTCTCCTGCTCTCTCTCTCTCTTTCAGGAAGGGAGGGGGGGAGGGAGGGAGGAAGGAAGGAAGGAAGGAAGGAAGGAAGGAAGGAAGGAAAGGGAGGGAGGAAGGAAGGAGGGAAGGAGGGAAGGAAGGAAAGAAGGAAAAGGAAGGAAGGAAGGAAGGAGGGAAGGAAGGAAAGGAAAAAGGAAGGAAGGAGGGAGGGAGGAAGGAAGGAGGGAAGGAAGGAAAGAAAGAAGGAAAAGGAAGGAAGGAAAGAAGGAAGGAAGGAAAGAAAGAAAAAGAAAGAAAGAAAGAAAAGAAAGGGAAAAGAACAAATATGTGGTTGTGAAACATGTGAAAGTTTGAAAGCTGATAATTTATTACGGTGATCTTCAGACTTTGGCCCACAGGCCACATCCAGTCCGTGACTTGTTTTCACTCGGCCCTTGGGCTAAGAATGGTGTTGATTTTTAATAATTGAAAAAACAAAACAGAAGGATAATATGACATGTAAATATCAATCGGAATTTCAGGGTTCACAGGGAACATGTTATTAGCACAGTCACTCCTAATCTGGATGTCCTGTCCACGGGTGTTTTGAGCTGCAGAGGGACAGCCGGGCCACGTGGCCCACAAACACGTGATGTTTGCTCCCTGCGCGGCACAGAAAACGCTTCCCGGCTCTGGCTTTGTTGTATGCAGAGCCTAGAAGGGATGGATGGAAGACACAGGCAGGCGGTGCTGGGAAGGTTGATCTCTGTTTTCTTCTATTGTGCCGTGTTCGCGTTTTCTGGGCGTGTAAATTACTTTTTCAAAGCGAGAGATGACTTGTTTTCGGTACTTCTATCTGTTCTTTGCCCCCCGGCTGGAAGTTACCAGGATTTCATCCTCCACCCTCCCACCCATGTCTGTTTTTCACACCGCACTCAACCTATTAAGAACGGTCCGCGTATTAAGATGACCTATTAAAAATGCCAGGCAGCTCTTTCCTTTCAGAAGTTCGCACGTGCGTGCTCGCTCACGAAGCAGTTGCTGTGTTAGGGACGAGCCTCTTCCTAGAGACCCTCCTCTGCTCAGCTCTGAGCCTCAGAACTCGCCGTGGCTGCGTGTGACTCCAGATGTCCCGCGTGTCCTGGGGTTCTGCTCCAGGCTCTGAACCTTCTCTGCGCCCTGGACCCCGTAGGCAGTTCAGGAAAGCCTGGGGGAAATCCCCTCTCAGAATAACTTCTATAAAGTGTTATAAGAAATACTCAGGGGGCGCCTGGGGGGCTCAGTCGGTTAAGCGTCCGACTTCGGCTCAGGTCATGATCTCGCGGTTCGGGAGTTCGAGCCCCGCGTCGGGCTCTGCGCTGACAGCTCAGAGTCTGGAACCTGCTTTGGATTCTGTCTCCCTCTCTCTGTGTCTCCCCCGCTAGCCCTCTGTCCCTCTCTCTCAAAAATAAATAAACATTAAAAAAATTTTTTTTTTAAAAAGGCAATACTCAGGGTTACGAAGGTAATCTGTTAATTAAAACGCACGTGAATATTAAACGTAAACTTGCGGTGCAGTAAATATAATTGAGCACTCGATTTTGAGCAGCAAGTCCAAAGCTAGTGTAGTTTTGAAGTAGTGATAAGCATAGATGATATTTTGGCATATCTGCAGCAACCATAATTTGTTGCGCAAACAGCTATGATTTTCTCTTCCAAGTCACAGGGGCCGTTCATAATGAGTGTGGTTGGTTGGCTGTGCTTCTAAATGCCGTATTTCAGTTTGAGGTTGGCAGAAACTAAAATGTATCTATTTTTCCCTTCCGAGTGACCACGTTCCCAAGGTTAGTAACCATTGGTCTGGTCCCTGTCTGCCCTTCCGACCTTCTCTATTGACTCATTCAGGCTCATTCACTCAGCTTTGGCCACGCTGGTCTTTTTGCTGCCTGGCAGTATGTCAAGCTTGTCCCTACCTCAGGGCCTTTGCACTTGCTCTCCGCTGGTAATTGCTGTTTCCCAGAGGCGTGGTTGGTGAGGTCTCTGCCCAAGTGCCCCCGTCTCCTATTTAAAACAGCCGCCACCCCGTGGCCCTTCCGTCACCCTGCGTTATTTCTGTTCGGTGCACCTGTCACCGTGTTACGTTATATATATCACCCGTTTCTCCCGCTAGAACGCTTGCCCCTTGAGGGCAGGGACACAACCCGTCTCGTGCCAGGAACGCGGCAGCCGCAAGGAAGAAGCATCCGCAAACGAGTCATGACTGACTGAATGAACACACAGGGCAGCGGTCCTGTCTTTAGTCTGTGGCTGTTTGCCTCCTGCTTTGGGGGTCCTGTTTATTTTTCATTTAGACGCTAGAGGTGAAAAATCCCCCCGAGTGCCACCACCAGCCTGAACACTGAGCCCGGGGCAGCCGTCCCAGGGTGTGACAGGTTTGTGTTCCTGCCCCGTGCATGTTAGTGTCTTCACAGACTTCGGGTCCTGCTCGTTAGAAACTGGAGGCGTCCGCGGGGGGCGAGCGGCCGCTGTCCCGGGGGTGGCAGGTTGAGCGGGGCTCCCGGCGTAACCCGGCTGGAGACCCCGAGCGCACTGACGCTCGATGCGTTTGCCGAGACGTTTTAGGGGGTCGTTGGAAAAACTGTGGGTACCTTGCATGGCCGTGCTGACCACTCACGATTGAAGTTCAATGTTGGAAAGTGGGCCTCACAGAACTCGTTGCGTCGTGGAGCCCAAGCTAACTTGTGTTAAATGACTAAAATGCCACATTTACACTCTTTGCCCGGATCTCCTTTTCATCCTTCCCTCCTCCCTGCCCGCGGCTGGATCACGTGCCCCTTGGCGCCCCTTGGAACCCGCAGCTGGGCAGCGAGTTCGCTGAAAGGCGTGTTTGCTAAGATCACCGGACCCCGTTTGCTTGTTAATCTTCTCTGTACCCCACGTACACCAGCATGGGGGGCAGCGTGGAAGCCTTCCGTGTGGGCAAGTGCCAGCCACCGAAGGTGGATCGTCACAGGCCTCCTGGCCTGTGTGCCCCACCCCGTGGCCTGCTCGCCTCGTCTCTTCGCAGGCAGGACTGGGGGAGGGACAGAGCCCCAGAGGCCACTCACAGGCACGGCCCGCGCTCCGGGAGGCTCAGCCTGGACTCTGGCTCTGGGTTTGTGTGACATTGTCAGCTGGTCGCAGGGCCCCCTCCGTCTCACGTTGGGGTCACCCGGGCCCGAGCGCCGGCGCTGTTGTCCGCTCAGGAATAATTTGGGTCCACAAAGTGCCGTTGGCCGCTTTCCCGTCCATATTGGGAATCGGCGCGTCCTCGAGCTGGCCTGGCGGCCACGGGCACCTTGCAGGCAATTTCCTCCCACGGCGCATGCACTTCTTGGACCCCGTCCTTGTGCACCACCTGCCGCTTCCCCCTGGAGCCCCGGCCGTGCCATCATCTGTCCCTTCCAGGGTCTCCGCCTCTGCCACCCCAGCCCCCTTGCGGTCCCTGACGACGGCGTTCCTGGACCCCATGGGGCCTCTGCCCGTCTTGCCCTCCCCGTCCCCTCCCCTGGGCTTGGTCTCCCCGGCCTGTTGCCGTCCTCCCCGATCTCGTCCCGTGGCCCCAGGCACAGCAGAACCACCCCCGGCTCCGGCCGGCTCTCCGCCCGCTGGGCCCCGCACCCAAGAGGCTGGTGTGGCCGGAGATGAACCCCAGAGTGCTGGCTGCTTCCCTTCACAGCGCTGAGTGGCTGACTCTGGCGGACCCCCGGGCAGCCACTCTCTGTTCCGCGCCTCCTCTCTCTGGCTCTCAGCGCCTCCCTCCCCCGTCGGCAGGCCAGCCTTCTTCGTGGTTCACTAGAAAAATGAGAGCATCCCAGTGAGACCTCAAGACCACGGCCGCCCTCCTCTGCTTCGTCTCCCCTCCCGCCCCGGCCACCTGCCCTCCTTCTGGAGGACATCACTCCTCACCTGTCCCTTCCTAACTGGGTCATCATCACCATCATGCAGACATGGTGGAATGTTCCCTGCCAACACCTTGTGTCTTTTAATAACTTGCCCGAACATCTCCTTGCCCCGTGTTCCTCCCATAAATGTGTCTGCACTTGGGGTGGCGGGGCGGGGGGGTGCGTGAAGCTCAGGAAATCGTGCCATGGCATCGGTTGCACCCGGAAACGGAACCTGGGCTACCCAGAAACTGACCTCCCCCGCCTCCAGCCCTTTGCAAAGCTAACGACGTCTCCGTCTGCCTGCTGCACAGCCCCGTGTGAATGAAGACTGACGTTGACTAAAAGCTAAAGCTGACCGTCACCTTGTCCTTCTTGTGCATCAGAGTCCGTCCGCCTGCCCTGCCTCGCATGAAAGTTCTCTTCCTTTCCCAGGACATGGGCAAGTTTTGCCTCACGTACGAGGCCTCCATGACCCGGCTCTTCCGAGAGGGGAGGACGGAGACCGTGCGTTCCTGCACCACGGAGTCTTGCAACTTTGTGCTCGCCATGGTGGACCCCACCCAGACGGTAACGTGGCGCCGGGCTGAGGACGCCTTGGGGCTGACCCGCGAGCCTCTGCAGGGGGAGCCGTGTTCAGCTTCTCCCCTGCCCTCCTTTCAGGGGAACCGGGCGTGGTCAGGACGCGCACAGAGAGGTTAACGTTTGTGTCCCTTCCGTAACGTCTTACAGCTTGGACTCCCTGAGTCTAAGTTAGACGTGCACCCGGCGCGGGCAGGCCTGGGAGTGGGTGCGGCAGGACAGAACAAGGGGCTGGGTGCGGACGCGGGGACCGGGCCACGGGAGCCTTCCGCTCGGGGTTACGGGAGCCCGCTGCCCACGCCGGAGCTCCCCGCCCGGGCCTGGGGCTCCGGTTGTCCGTACGCTGCCTTTGAGAATCTGGCAGTGGCCTGGGAACCGTTAGGGCAGTTCGTTTTCGTAGCCGAGGATCGGAGACTCCGGTGAATTCCATAGGCTGCTGGGCCACACAACCGGGACGTGGCCGAGGCCAGATC